TAAAGTGTTTGACACCATTGACCATCATCTTCTTCTGCAAAGATTGAAAAGCATAGGTTTCAGCCGTACTGTATTTGTCACGTTGGAGCCGGTAGGTGAGCCAGAAAGCAGGCGAGTAGACGGCAGTAGGGACAAACGGGGTTTATTCACGGGTCAGGAGGCACATGAGGCAAACGATCACGAGACATTACATAATGAATGATCTGGGAGACAGTGGGAGACGCGGACTAATATACACCGGACAAAGCAAAAGGAACAGGCAACAGGTGAGTACAATCAGGAGTTAACACGAGGTAACGAGGTGGGCGTGGCACACACGAGGATCGTACGGAGCTGGGCGTGACAGTATTAAATTGGTTTTCTAATTATTTCTAATTTTCTATTAGTGGTAGAACTCAGTGTGTGGCTGTAGACAACTTTATCTCTCCCTTATTAGAAGTAATAATGGGTGTCCCGCAGGGATCAGTTTTGGGCCCCATTTTATTTTCTATTTATATAAATAATTTAGGTTTGGATTTAAGTCCATCAAAAGTTCATTTTTATGCTGACGATACAATACTGTACACCTCTGCATCATCTTTGCTAGAGGCAGTGAGTTACCTACAGTCTGCTTTCAATCAGGTACAAAAATCCCTTGTAGGATTAAACGCCCACCTCACTACCTCCTGTTTTTGCCCTGATTGTTCTCACCTGTGGCTCATTCTCCGTGGCATGTCTTGTGTATTTAGTCTTCGCCAGACTCACCATTGATGCTGTCTATCGTGCTTCCCCGGTCCCGTTACCCCAATAAATCCCCTTCGTTCCTGAAGTCCTGGCTCCGATCGTCTGCTTACCTGCACCACTCGCCCACGATCGCGACAAGAAATGGTATCCTCCTACAAATATCTAGGTATTTGGTTGGATGATAAATTATCCTTTGGGGTTCATATCGAGAGCCTTTTAAAAAAACTTTTTTAAACCCAAATTACGTTTTTATTTCAGACTGAGGAAGTGCTTTCCATACTTAGCAAGAAAGAGATTGGTAGAGAGCACATTTTTATCAGTATTAGACTATGGTGACATAATTTATATGCACTCCTCTTACTCTTTACTGAAAAAGTTAAATGTTTTATATCATTCAGCATTGCGTTTCATTACAGGTGCAACTGCTAGGACTCACCCCTGCATCCTGTATGAAATGGTACAATGGATTTCTCTTTCCCTTAGAAGGAAATCTCATTTATTGATCTTTATTGTAAAAGGATTAATGGGTAAATTACCGCAATACATTTCAAATCTGCTTACGTATCATACTAGTGTCTATAGTACAAGGTCATCAAATAAGATATTATTAGTCACTCCTTCAATAAGGACAGAACTTGGTAAAACATCTTTCTCCTATTATGCACCACATGTCTGGAACGAACTTCAAAATATCTTAAATTTAGAGTCACTTCCATCTCTCAATGTTTTTAAAAACCTTTTAAAATCAACCCTTACAGATGTGTCAATGTTTTTAATTTGGTGCCTTTATGTTTATTTTTCTGTTTCACTAAGTGTGATGTTATTGATTTTTAGCCTGTGTTTTTGTTATGATTTTTGTGAGACTTTTAAAAAATTTTTTTTTATTGTTTTATTGTATGTGGTTGTATGTTCATTGTCTTAGTATTTTTGA